CTTCATTGATACTACTTTCTTGCTGTGTTCTTACATGGTGAAATGGGCAAGGAGTTTCTCTCAGGCTTCTTTTGTAAGGACACTAATCTCAGTCATGAGGACCTCTGCCTCCCTGATTCAAGCAGTTCTCCTGTCTCAACCTCCCATTTACCTGGGATTACAGGCTCAGACCACCACACCCAGTTTATTTCTGTGTGTTCCTGTTTTTTTTTTTTCCTTTTCTTTTTTAATATGGGGTTTCACCATGATGGCCAGGCTGGTCTTGAACTCCTTACCTCAGGTGATCCACCCACCTCGGCCTCTGAAAGTGCTAAGATTACAGGCGTGAGCCACTGCGCCCAGCCATTTTTTTTTGGACATTGGTCAAGCATTTAATTACTTGTACAAGAACTGGAATGCTGTAGATAAGCAATACATGTTTGTCAAATAATTTTACATAGTGCTATGATGAAGCAATACAACCAAATTTTTGATTTCATGTCCAACACTCTTCTGAGTAACTAGGAAAAATGAGTGGAATTATGGGTAGAATGCTGCAGAGGGGTAGAAATCTGAGGTCTCCGAGAGTCTCTAAAACTCTTTCAGTTGAATTTAAGGTCTTTTAAAGTGCACATATAACAGATAAAAAGCACAGCCACGGCCAATAAAGTACCAGTAACAGCTTCTACATGACAGGATGTTGTGAACATTAGGGCAAATGCATAAATAAATGCAAACTGCTTGAAACAGTGCCTGGATCATCATCAGCAGCAGCAGCACCAAAATCAGCACCAAATTCACCACCAAACATGCCTGGAACGCTCCAAGCCCATGTGTACACTTGGACACTTGGCACTCTGGCAGTCCTAAAAACACTAGTTTTCGGCCGGGCGCGGTGGGTCAGGCCTATAATCCCAGCACTTTGGGAGGCTGAGGCGGGTGGATCACTAGGTCAAGAGATCGAGACCATCCTGGTCAACATGGTGAAACCCCGTCTCTACTAAAAATACAGAAAATCAGCTGGCCATAGTGGCGCGTGCCTGTAATCCCAGCTACTCGGGAGGCTGAGCCGGGAAAATTGCCTGAACCCAGGAGGCGGAGGCAACCTCACATCATGAAAGAGAGCTGCAGCAACAAGTAGCAGGAAAAGCACCACTGGAAAACCAACCGGAAGGAAGATATTGTAGACGGCTACTAGCTTCTCACTAGGAAACTTAGAATGACATCAGGATGGGAGACCCAAACTGCTGCTTTAATTCCTTCCAGGAAATTTCCCGGGGACCCAAATGGCCATGGGTTTTTCTTGGCCTGTGCCCCAATCCCAGCCTGGACCTTTGGGGTAAGCACCTGCCCATGTGAACTATGCGAGGCAGGTCTCCTGCTATGGCCCTGAACTCCCGGGTTTCGAGGAAATCTCCCCAGCTAGGAGGCCATTTTCCCCTCCCTGCGGACACTTCCCCGGCCTCCCAAACTCCCCAAGTAACCCTGCAACACCCCTCTCCCCAGAATGACCCCGGTCGCTCGGCTCCGGGCAGGTCTGCACCTTGAAGTAGGTGACCTGCAGGTAGTTGCCGGGGTCCGCTGGCGGAACTCCAGCTCTAACTCTTCGCCGAACTAGTGGGTAGTCGGGGGGCCCGACAAGAAGGCTAGAGAGGGTTGGCATTGAGTATTTTCTGTCTGTCATGTTGTTTAGGTTACAGTAAAATCCTAGATGTGTTAGACTTTGGCTGAATAGTAAAATAATTTCCCTGAGTCATGCCTTTTTAAAACAGATGCTCAGGAAATATTTCAGAATGTTTACTTTGCCTATTTTCCTGTTAGAAGCATAAAGTAGTGTTTTCTAGTCTTTATTGTATGAAGTCTTCTGGTGATAAAACTCAGAAAGATGTGGAGGCACTGTAAGAAGTGATCTCCCTGATACATGAAACTGTCAAAACATTGAGCCTGTGAAACAAGCACTTTGTACAGTCTACCAGGTTTTCAGGTTGACTCCCTCTTGATTTCTGTTACAGCTGTGTTCTGATCATCATAGAAAAGTTAGCTCCTCAAAAATAAGTTAAACTCTTTTAAATATAAGTATTTGTATTATTATATTGTTATATATATTTTTTCTTATAGTTTTTATTAATGATTGGATGAATTCACCAGTGTGGGAACTCAGATAGAAAGGGCAGACTGTATCTTCATTATTCTCTCTGATTTTTCTCCAGAAGTTTAATCAAACATCAAAATGTCAAAAAAAAAAAACAGGTTTTCATTATCTTTCTTTTCATAATGTAACTCCTTCTTATTGCATTCTCTACTCTCTTCTCTGATACATTTTTCTGTAAGGTCCATATCAAACATCTAATATTGTATATTCTAAATTACTTCATATCCTTTTTATCTATTTAATAGGCTGGATAAAATAGAGAATTGGGGTGTTTTTATTGTTTTATCCCTAGAGCCTGAAAAAGTTAGATGTGGCCAAACCAGGTATTTAATAAATATGGCTTCCAGAAAGAAAAAGCTCTCATTCAGTATAAAACAGAGACTTTCCATGCTGTTAGTAGTTGAAGTATAAGCTTAAAATTTATCTTAAAACATTTTTTTGACATGGTTAATATTATGTGTCAGTTATTTTATCACAGACTCGCTGTTCTATGAAAGTGCTCTGTAGATAGGATGAACATTTATGGCCATGCATAGTGGTTCATGCCTGTACTCATGGCACTTTGGGAGGCTGAGGCAGGTGAATTACTTGAGATTAGAAGTTTGAGACAAGCCTGGCCAATATGATGAAACCCTGTTATTTATTTTTTGTTTCTGAGATGGAGTCTCACTCTGTTGCCCAGGGTGGAACCTCGTGGCATGATCTCAGCTCACTGTAATCTCTGCCTTTTGGGTTCAAGCAGTTCTTCAGCATGTGCCTCCTAAATAGCTGGGACTACAGGCATGCACCACCTTGCCTGGCTAATGTTTGTATTTTGACTAGAGATGGGGTTTCACCATGTTGGCCATACTGATCTTGAACTCCTGACCTCAGGTAATCAGCCTGCTTCAGCCTCCCAAAGGGCTGGATTATAGGCATAAGCCACTGTGCCTGGCCCTGAAAAGCTGTTTCTACTTAAAAAATAAAAATAAAATAGCTGGGCAAGGTGGCGTGTGCCTGTATCCCCAGCTACGGAGGCTGAGGCACAAGAATTGCTTAAACTTGGGAGGTGCAGGTTGCAGTGAGCTGAGATCACACCACTACACTCTAGCCTAGATGGGAGAGTGACACTCTGTCTCAAAAAAAAAAAAAAAAAAGATTAACATTCATAAGTAACCTTATTGAGATTACCCTCTATAATTGATTGTCATATTATATTTTATAAAAGAATTTAATGAGTCTTTAATACATTTGAGTCATTTTGAGTTAATTTTTGTATGTCGTATGAGAATTTCCAATTTGCATGAGGATATCTGATTATCCAAGCATAATTTGTAGAAAACTCTGATTCGTCCCACCATGACACTCTGTCAACAATTAATTTACAATCCATATGTGGATGCATTTATAGACTCTTTTGCCATACTCCTGTATAGTTTTGCTTACACCAGTTCTAAAAAGCTTTTGTCACTGTAACTTTATAGGTATTTTGAAAATAGGTAAATGTAACTCCATCTTTTTTGTTATTTGTCTCTATTCTCATAGTATGGTATTACATTGCTTGATTTTCACATGTAAACCTACTTGCTTTCTGGGAAAAGTTCTCCTTTATTTTGTTGCATAATTCTTATGTATTGCTGGGTTTGACCTGCTAATATATTCTTAAGGATCTTGTCTTTAAAGGGAGATGTTCTCCTCAGTGATATCTTTTATTCACTTTCGCTGGCATTAGAGTATTATTGGCTTTGTAAAGTGACTTAGTAATTCTGTGTCCTGCTGAATATCTGGAAAATATTTTTGTATATTTCTTCCTGAAATGCTGTTTGTAGGATCTCTGACAATATAATATCTTTTGTTTCTACCTTGCTAAGTTTCTATTTATTGTTGTAATGTATTTAAGTAAAGATTTTTTAAGTGTTGTCAATCCTTTTGAAGACCAGTTTTATATATTTTTAAACCTTTTCCATGAGTTTTCTGTTTTCTATTTCAGTTTCTTTTTTCCTTCTTACATGTGTTATTTATCTTGTGTTTAGTTTTGGTTTGATTCTTTACAACATCTTAAATTGGTATTTTATCTTTTTGATCTTAGAACTTTATTCTTTGATAACATAAGTGTTCAAAACCATAAAACCTACATATTGCATTAAACTACAATTTGATAAGGCATGCTTTTATTTTGATAAGGCATGCTTTTATTTTTATTAAGTTCATAGAATTCTCTAGTTTGTCATTTCTTAAATTGGCTTATAGGAAATTTAGAATTCTGTTTACTTTTCATACATTTGAGTATTTATAGGATTTTATGTTTTTGATAGGTAATGTAATTTTTTTCAGAAAATATACTTTGTATGATTTCAGTTTTTTTAGTTTTATTGAGATTTTTTTGCATCATCTATGGCTTATAAATGAAATAAACCTCATGTATTAAAGTGTAATATAATGTAATAATGTACATCGTGTGTTAAATATACTTAGAATTATAATAAGTACAGCTTGGTATTAAACTTAAAAGATCACAAACCAGTGATTCAGTTTATTTTGTTTATCTTTAATTGATCATATATATGTTTTCCACATCTAAATTTTGAGACACGCTTTTATTCTGCTAAAAAAGTATGTCAGAATTGAACAGTTTAAACTTTAAAAAGCCTTATGTGAAGACAGTTGTTTACATATTAGTAAATCAAATTAAACAGGTAGGTTAGACCATTTTATTTTAAAAATACCACTTTAATCTGTTGATTTAACTTTTAAATAATTTTGAGATTTTACTTAAATTATGTTACATAAAATTTAATTTATTTATGGTGGTTTTGACATTTGAATCCTCAGGACTATTCTGTGTATGCATATGAGTTTCCATGATACTAAATTTAAAATTTTTTTTTAGGGGCTTCATAAAAGTCAGAGTTCGTGTTTGTCAGGAACTACTGAAGAACAACTTCTGTTTTCCACTGGGTGTGCCCAGTATCATCAGGCAACTAGCACTGGTTTTAAGAAGCAGAATGAACATCTAACTTTGTGTAGTAATTCAGGACCACAGAAGGTCGCTGACAGTCACCTCCCTTCTCATATTGCTACCTCAAATGGACAACAAGGCATTATTTTTACCAAAGAGAGCAAGCCTTCAAAACATAGATCATTGGTACCTGAAACAAGCAGACATACTGGAGACACATCAAATGGCTCTGCTGATGTCAACGGACTTTCTAATCATGTTCATCATACGATAGCAGATGTTGTTTCCGGTCCTAATCATGGAGTTTCACCAAATTTATTAATTTCAGACAATCCTCAGCTTTCTGCCTTGTTGATTGGAAAAGCCAGTGACAGTATGGGTACTGGAACCTGTGACAAAGTCAATAATATTCGCCCAACTGTTCATACAAAGACTGACAATTCTGTTGTCTCTTTACCCTCTTCAGCCATTTCCACAGCAACATCTTCTCCTAAGTCCACTGAGCAGACAAGTACAAACAGTGTTACCAGCCTTAACAGTTCTCACAGTGGATTACACACAGTTAATGGAGAGGGGCTGGAGAACTCACAGAGTTCTACAAAAATAGACCTGCCTTTAGTTAGCCACAGATCTGCTTGTCAGATCATCCCATCGATGTCTGTCTCTATATGCCCCAGTTCAGCAGAAGTTCTGAAAGCATGCAGGTTAGTGTGGGAAAGGTTTTCACAAAATGAAAATGCTCAACTACCGACCAGATCAGAAGTCTATAAAATGTGATTTGATCTCTTAAGAAACATAATGTGCAAAATATTGTGCAGTCATTCATATGAAACAAGTTTCATAAGGAAATTTGTTTGAAATTCCTGTGTTTATCTTTTTTTTCTTTATTTTACTTTTAAGTTCTGGGATGAATGTGCAGTGTGCAGGTTTGTTACGTAGGTACACATGTGCCGTGGTGGTTTGCTGTACCTATCAACCCATCATCTCAGTTTTAAGTACTGTATGCATTTTGTATTTGTCCTAATGCTCTCCCTCCCATTGCCCCCTTCCCGGCAACAGGCCCTGATGTATAATGTTTCCCTCCCTGTGTTCATGTGTTCTCATTGTTCATTTCCCACTTATAAGTGAGAACATTTGGTGTTTGTTTTCTGTTCCTGTGTTAGTTTGCTAAGAATCATGGCTTCCAGTTTCATCCATGTCTCCGCAAAGGACATGAACTGATTCTTTTTTATGGCTGCACATTATTGCATGGTTTATATGTACCACATTTTTGTTATCCAGTCTATCATCAATGGGCATTTGATTTGGTTCCCAGTCTTGTCTATTGGGAATAGTGCTGCAATAAACATATTTGTGTATGTGTCTTCATAGTAGAACGATTTATAATCTTTTGGGTATATACCCAATAATGAGATTACCTGGTCAAGTGATATTTCTGGTTCTAGCACCTTGAGGAATCGCCACACTGTATTCCACAATGGCTGAACTAATTGACAATCCCAACAACAGTGTAAAACTGTTCCTTTTTCTCCACAGCCTGGCCAGTATCAGTTGTTCCTGACATTTTAATGACCACCCACTCTTTTTTTTTTTTTTGAGATGGAGTTTTACTCTTGTTACCCAGGCTGGAGTGCAATGGCGCTAACTCGGCTCACTGCAACCTCCACCTCCTGGATTCAGGCAATTCTCTTGCCTCAGCCTCCAGAGTAGCTGGGAATACAGGCACGTGCCACCGTGCCCAGCTAATTTTTTGTATTTTTAGTAGAGACGGGGTTTCACCATATTGATCAGTATGGTCTCGATCTCTTGACCTCGTGATCCACCCGCCTCGGCCTCCCAAAGTGCTGGGATTACAGGTGTGAGCCACCACGCCTGGCCTCACCCACTCCTAACTTGTATGAGATGGTATCTCGTGGTTTTGATTTACATGTCTTTGAAGACCAGTGATGAGCAGTTTTTCATGTTTGTTGGCTGTATGTCTTCTTAATGGGATATTTTTTTTTCTAGTAAATTTGTCTAAGTTTGTTGTAGTTTCTGGATATTAGACCTTTGTGAGATAGAAATATTGCAAAAATTTTTTCCCATTCTGTAGGTTGCATGTTCATTCTTATGATAGTTTCTTTTGCTGTGCAGAAGCTCTTTAGTTTAATTAGATCCCATTTGTCAATTTTGGCTTTTGCTGTCATTGCTTTTCGGGTTTTAGTCATGGAATCTTTGCTTATGCCTATGTTCTCAGTGGTATTACCACGGTTTTCTACTGTGCTTTTTATAGCTTTAGGTTTTAATCCATCTTAAGTTAATTTTTCTATAAGATGTAAGGAAGGGATCCAGTGTCAGTTTATTGCATATAGCTAGTCAGGTTTTCCAACATCATTTATTAAACAGGAAATCTTTTCCCAATTGCTTGTTTTTCTCAGGTTTCTCAAAGATCAGATGGTTGTAGATGTGTGGTGTTATTTCTCAGGCTTCTATTCTATTCCATTGATCTATATATCTGTTTTGGTACCAGCACTTTGTTCTTTTTGTTTAAGTAATATGCGAGTAAGAGAGTTAGTTGCCCTGATTAAGGAGGCTTATAACGAAAGGTAACTTTTTATGAGCTGTTTATCTGGAGAGAATCATTTTATACTAATTATATAGATGAACTTCAAAGTAAACCTAGGTAAATTATTTTCAAAAAAGCCATCTTTAATATTATACAATAATGAATGTCTTTTTTATGTTGTTTTGGGGGCAGAGTTTCGCTCTTGTTGCCCAGGCTAGAGTGCAGTAGAGCGATCTCAGCTCACTGCAACTTCCACCTCTCAGGTTCAAGTGATTTTCGTGGCACCACCTCCCGAGTAGCTGGGATTATAGAAATGTGCCACCAGGCCTAGCTAATTTTTTGCATTTTTAGTAGACATCGGGTTTCTCACCTGATCTTGTGTGATGAATGTCTTCAATAAGTAAAGATTAAGAATAAGCTTTCAGATAAGAGACATTCTTTAGCCGTTCCAACATTTTATTTTTCTTCAGTTTTGTTTCATTCTCATTACGGACTTTATCAATAAAGTTTCATTACTTCTTTTTTTATTGCATTTTAGGTTTTGGGGTACATGTGAAGAACATGCAAGATTGTTGCATAGGTATACACGTTGCAGAGTGATTTGCTGCCTTCCTCCCCTTCACCTATATCTGGCATTTCTCCCCATGCTATCTCTCCCCAGCTGCCCGCCCACTGCTTTCCCTACCCTATTCCCCCCAACAGACCCCAGTGTGTAGTGCTCCCCTCCCTGTGTCCATGTGTTCTCATTGTTCAACACCCACCTATAAGTGAGAACGTGCGGTATTTCATTTTCTTCTGTTCTTGTGTCAGTTTGCCGAGAATGATGTTCTCCAGGTTCATCCACGTCCCTACAAAGGACAGGAACTCATCGTTTTTGATGGCTACATAATATTCGATGGTGTATATGTGCCACATTTTCCCTGTTCAGTCTATCATTGAGGGGCAATTCGGTTGTTTCCAGGTCTTTTCTATTGTAAACAGTGCTGCCGTGAACATTCGTGTGCATGTGTCCTTATAGTAGAACGATTTATCATCCTCTGGATATATACCCAGTAATGGGATTGCTGGGTCAAATGGAATTCCTATTTCTAGGTCCTTGAGGAATCGCCACACTGTCTTCCACAATGGTTGGACTAATTTACACTCCCACCAGCAGTGTACAAGTGTTCCTATTTCTCCACATCCTCTGCAGCATCTGTTGTCTCCAGATTTTTTAATGATCGCCATTCTAACTGGCGTGAGATGGTATCTCAATGTGGTTTTGATTTGCATCTCTCTAATGACCGGTGATGATGAGCATTTTTTCATATGTTTGTTGGCCTCATGTAAGTCTTCTTTTGGTGATTTGGTCATGAAGTCCTTGCCTACTCCTATGTCCTGAGTGGTTTTTGCTTGGATTTTCTTCTAGGGTTTTTATGGTGTTAGGTGTTATGTTTAAGTCTTTAATCCATCTGGAGTTAATTTTAGAGTAAGGGGTCAGGAAGGGGTCCAGTTTCTGCTTTCTGCACATAGCTAGCCAGTTTTCGCAACACCATTTATTAAACAGGGAATCCTTTTTCCATTGCTTGTTTTTCGTCAGGTTTATCAAACATTGTATGGTTTTTTTTTTCTTATTGAGTCTCTGCCGGGTTTTGGTATCAGGGTGATGTTGGTCTCATAAAATGACTTGGGAAGGATTCTCCTTTTTTTGGATTATTTGGAATAGTTCAGAAAGAATGGTAACAGTTCCTCTTTGTGTGTCTGGTAGAATTCAGCTGTGAACCCATCTGGACCTGGCCTTTTTTTGTGTGGTGGGCTCTTAATTGCTGCCTCAACTTTAGATCTTGTTATTGGTCTATTCATGGTTTTGACTTCTTCCTGGTTTAGTCTTGGGAGGATGCAAGTGTCCAGGAATTCATCCATTTCTTCCAGGTTTCCTAGTTTATGTGTATAGAGTTGTTTGTAATATTCTCTGATGCTGGTTTGAATTTCTGTGGTATCTGTGGTGATTGCCATTTTATCGTTTTTTATTGCATCTATTTGGTTATTCTCTCTTTTGTTTTTTATTAATCTGGTTAGTGGTCTATTGTGTTGATCTTTTCAAAAAACCAGCTCCTGGATTTATTGATTTTTTTGAAGGGTTTTCCATGTCTCTATCTCCTTCACTTCTGGTTTGATCTTAGTTACTTAGTTATTTCTTGTCTTGTGTTAGGTTTTGAGTTTTTTTGATCTTGCTCCTCTAGCTCTTTTAATTTTGACAATAGGGTGTCAATTTTGGATCCCTTTCTTCTCATGTGGGCACTTATTTCTATATATTTTTCTCTAGAGACTGCTTTAAATGTGTCCCAGATATTCTGGTACGTTATGTCCATTCTTGTTGGTTTCAAAGAACTTCTTTATTTCTGCCTTCATTTCATTGTTTATCCAGTCAACATTCAAGAGCCAGTTGTTCAGTTTCCATGAAGCTGTGCGGTTCCGAGTTAGTTTCTGAATTATGAGTTCTAAGTTGATTGCACTGTGTTTTGAGAGACTGTTTGTTGTGATTTTCATTCTTTTGCATTTGCGGAGGAGCGATTTACTTCCAATTATGTGGTCAATTTTTTTCTTCTTTGAGGCGGAGTTTCACTCTTGTTACCCAGGCTGGAGTCCAATGGTGCAGTCTCAGCTCACCGCAACCTCCGCCTCCTGGGTTCAAGCAATTCTCCTGCCTTAGCCTCCTGAGTAGCTGGGATTACAGGCATGTGCCACCATGCCCAGCTAATTTTTTGTATATTTAATACAGATGGGGTTTCACCATGTTGACCAGGATGGTCTTGCTCAATTTTAGAGTAGGTGTGATGTGGTGCTGAGAAGAATGTATATTCTGTGGATTTGGGTTGAAGAGTTCTGTCAATGTCTATCAGGTTTGCTTGTTCCTGGTGTCAGTTCAAGTCCTGGATATCCTTGTTAATTTTCTGTGTGGTTGATCTGTCTAATATTCAACAGTGAAGTTTTAAAGTCTCCCACTGTTATTGTGTGGGAGTCTTAAGTCTCTTTGTAAGTCATTAAGAACTTGCCTTATGTATTTGGGTGCTCCTGTACTGGGTCCATATATATTTAGAATTGTTAACTCTTCTTGTTGTATCGATCCTTTTACCATTTTATAATGACCTTCTTTGTCTCTTTTGATCTTTGTTGCTTTAAAGTCAATTTGATCGGAGATGAGAATTTCAACTCCTACTTTTTTTTTGCTCTCCATTGGCTTGGTAAATCTTCCTCCATCCCTTTATTTTGAGCCTTTGTGTATCCTTGCCTGTGAGATGGGTTTTGTGGATACAGCACACTGATGGATTTTGGCTTTTTATCTAGTTTGCCAGTCTGTATCTTTTGATTGGTGCATTTAGCCCATTTACATTTAGGGTTAATATTGTTATGTGTGAATTTATACTGCCATTTTGGTGCTAGCTGCCCGTTAGTGGTTGAAGAGTCTTCATTGTGCTGATGCTCTTTAGCACTTGGTATGTTTTTGGAGTGGCTGGTACTGGTTGTTCCTTTCTATGTGTAGTGCCTCTTTCAGGAGCTCTTATAAAGCAGGCCTGGTGGTGACAAAATCTCTGAGTACTTGCTTGTTTGTAAAGGATTTTATTTTTGCTTCACTTTTGAAGCTTAATTTGGCTGGATATGAAATTCTGGGTTGAAAGTTTTTTTCTTTAAGGATGTTGAATATTGGCCCCCACTCCCTTCCGGCTTGTCGGCTTTATGCTGAGAGGTCTGCTGTGAGTCTGATGGGCTTCCCTTTCTGGGTGACCCGACCTTTCTCTGGCTGCCCTTAGCATTTTTTCCTCCATTTCAACCCTCGTGAATCTGATGATTATGTGCCTTGGGGTTGGTCTTTTTGAGGAATATCTTTGTGGTATTCCCTGTATTTCCTGGACTTGAATATTGGCCTGCTTTGCTAGGTGGGGGAAGTTTCCCCAGATAATATCCTGAAGAGTATTTTCCAGCTTGGATTCATTCACTTCGTCACATTCAGGTACACCTATCAAATGTAGGTTACGTCTCTTCACATAGTCCCACATTTCTTGGAGACTTTGTTCATTCCTTATTGTGCTTTTTTCTCTAATCTTGCATTCTCATTTTATTTCATTGAGTTTATCTTTGACCTCTGATATCCTTTCTTCTGCCTGGTCAATTCGGCTATTGAAACTTGTGTATGCTTCGTGAAGTTCTCGTGTTGTGTTTTTCAGCTCCATCAATTCACTCATATTCCTCTCTAAGTTGTCCATTCTTTTTATCATTTCCTTAAATTTTTTTTAAGGTTCTTAGTTTCTTTGCATTGAGTTAGAACATGTTATTTTAGCTCACAGAAGTTTCTCATTACCCACCTTCTGAAGTCTGGTTCTGTCATTTCATCACACTCATTCTCTGTCCAACTTTGTTCCCTTGCTGGTGAGGGGTTTATGGTCCCTTGTGGGAGGTGAGATGTTTCAGTTTCGGGTGTTTTCCTCCTTTTCGTGATGGTTTCTTCCCATCTTTGTTGATTTACCCACCTGTCGTCTGTAGTTGCTGAGTTTCATATTGGGTCTCTGAGTGGACATCCAGAGTGTTGATGATGAAGTTATTTCTGTTTCTTAGTTTTCCTTCTAACAGTCTGGCCCCTCTGCTGCAGGACTGCTGAGGTCCACTCCAGGCCCTGCTTGCCTGGGGATCACCTGCAGCAGCTGCAGAACAATAAGGGTTGCTACCAGTTTCTTCTTCTGCTATCTTTGTCCCAGAATGATGCCCGCCAAATGTCAGTCTGATCAGTTCTTCGTGAGGTGACTCTTTGGATACACTGGGGTCAGGGGGCTGCTTGAGGAGACAGTCTGTCCTTTATAGGAGCTCAGGTGCTGAGCTGTGAGCTCTGTTGTTCATTCAGAGCTGCTAGGCGGTACATTTAAACCACTTTTTGTTCCCAGGTGCTCTGTCTCAGGGAGTTAGGGCTTTATTTATGAGTATAAATAAAGGCTCATAAATTTAAAAAAGGCTGCTGCCTTTTTTTTTTTTCAGGGCTGCCCTGCCCAGCAAGGAGGCAGCCTAGTCACTGTCTGCCTGCAGAGGCTTTGCTGAGCTGCTCTGGGCTCTGCCCTGCTATGGTGTGAACTTCCCTGCAGTCCTGTTTACATGGATGTGGTTAGAACTGCCTGGGCAATGGTGGCCCGCCTCTGTAATGGCAAACTCTCTGTGTTATGGCAGGTTGCCTCAGCAACAGCGGGTTGCCTTGGCAATTGCAGGCTGCCTCGGCAATGGGGGACTACCTCCGTAGGGGTGGAGTGCCTTGGTAATGGTGGATGTCCCTCCCCCACAGAGCTGGCCCATCCTGGTTCAGCTATGCCTGCCGTAAAACTCTCAACCCTGAGCGTTTCCAGTTGCTGTTTGTTTTGTTTTGTTTTTTGGGGGTGAGACTCACTGAGCCTGATCACCTGGCTCCGTGCCTCAGAGCCTTTTTTTTTTAAGTTGCATGGTTGACTTAACTGTTCCCAGGTGTTCCAGTCACCTGCTGAAAGGGTGCTGGGATATGTGTGATTTCCCATTCGGCGACCCACTGTGCCAGCTGAAATAACAGTGCTTCGCTGGAATCTCCTGGCCTGGCTCTCTGTTTCAATCCACTTTAATGAGATATGTGCTAATCTGCCTTCTTGGAGCTCCAATTGCCAGCTTAAAAGGGCAACCTGACCAGTGCACTTTGTATGGAGGGCTGCCATGCTGGGGTGCCGGCAAAACAGCAGCGCTGGCTGAAACAGCTGTGCTGGCCAAAACAGCCACACTGGCGACCCGTGGGGCGCCTCTGCCCGGGATTCTCCAGGTCTGTGGGCAATAAAGATCTGTCTGGAAATGTGGTGTCCACTCACCCTCTGCGCTTTCACTGGGAGCTGCAATCCTGAGCTGCTCCTAAGGGGCCATCTTGGATATTCTCTAGCGAAGTGACTCTTTAAAATCCCTATTCTTATTTTTTATAGAGGATGTTGTTTAAATTTTTGATACCACAATAAATTAGCATAAAGAAATTTATAATACATTTAAGCATTTGACCATATTTAGTACAAATAAATTCTGGTATGGTGAGAATACTTGAATTGGTTCTTCACCGAGTATGTTCTATTTATTAAAAATAAGAGTTCTAAGGATTTTATATATTTGGTTCAATTCTAAATTTAAGTTTAAAAGCTTAACATATATCAGCTATAATTATATATATAGGTCATTATGCTCTATGGAGAGAGACTAAAATCTAGATACTACTTTAGAACTTAATAGATAAATGTAAATATTTAATAGATATTTGCATATTTTTAATTTAAAAATTAGAGAAGTCAAATTTCTAAGCCAATTCTTAACTTAAAAATGCTTAACAGCATTTTAGTTGTTTACAAAGAGTATATACCCTAGGGACTGATTCTTTGACATCTTAAATGTGTTTATGTTGCATTTCAAAGCTTCATTTTTATTAGAGCAATCACAGAGGCTTGACTTGAAAGTTTTTTTTTATATAGGAAAATAAAGCCAAACAAGTTTTTAGTTCTGTTTTATTATTCTATATATTTAGATTTAAACAGAATTTCTTCTGAAATAAATGTGTGGTTTTTTTTTTTTTTTTTTACTTTCCAAAAAAAGTTCTTTTTTTTTACTTTCCAAAATGGAGTTTTTAGGATTTTGTCTGAAATATTAACATTTTTAAGAGGTCCTTTGTTTGATATTTTAATACATTATTTCCGAATTTTAATAATTAGGTGAGACAGCTTGAATAATTTGAAGGGCTTACCAGTTTTTTTTGAAATTGTTAAAAAGTTAAGGGTTTAGGAATATTCTTATATTTGTATACGAAAAGAAGAATTGGAATATGGAAGTAATTTTACCACATTTGAATAAATTATCAATAATTTAACAAATACCGAATCTTTCATTAAAGGAAAAATTTGAATATTGTTAAGTAGAAATTATGCATAATATGACAACACAGAACAACTAGTTGCATCACTTAAAATTATAAGATGTGGAACTTTGGTAAATGGAGTCTTGTTGAGTATTACTTAATTCCACAGAAAATAAGTCTTGAGGATGAAACTAATGAGCTTTTTGGATTTGACAGTCATCACAGTGGTATTCTAGAAATAATTACTAAGATACCATATCAGAAAGGATATATAAATTGATAATAAGGATATATAAACCACATCCAGATCAACTATTTTATTTTATGGAGAATATTTAAGGGTAGTACATGTTGAAGAGAACATTTGAGTTTGTATTAATGTTTGATATGAGAAACCAAATTGGAAATGAACAATAAGAGGAATTTTGTCAATACTTTATGTACTCTGTGCATAATATATTTTGTTTAGCATTTATAAGAAATCACATTGGCTGAAATTTAATAGTTCTTAATATTTTATTTAATGGATCTGAATATCCTACACTATTTGTGTTTGTTGAATGCCTTATGCTTGTCTTTTAATTGAGATTTTCCTTTTTTTTTTCTATTGTTAAAATAAATACATAACTGATATATTTCTTCTGCCCCACTTTTTTTTTCTTTAGGAATCTAGGTAAAAATGGCTTGTTTAATAGCTGCATTTCATTGGATAAATGTCCACCTCCAAGACCACCAACTTCACCATACCCACCCTTGCCAAAGGACAAATTGAACCCACCTACACCTAGTATTTATGTGAGTCTCCACTGAGTATCTTACAAGTAAATCAAGCGTCCTACCTAATGTGTCTTTTAGAAAATTGATGTATTTTTTAAATCAAGGCAGATTCCCTTAGAGAGCATAGACTTTACTTTCACAGGCTGAATATTTCAGAAAAACATGTTCGTATTTCAAGGCTTATAACAAATAAGTGCTCTTAGTTTAAATGCTGCCTATCAACCTGTTTTTGAAAATAAAATTCTAGTGGAACACAGCCATCCTTATTTATTCACTGTCCTTATGATTGCATTTGCAATACATTGACAGTTTGCAAAAGGGACTGGATTACTCATAAAGCCAAAAATACTTACTGTCTGGTCTTTGACAGAAAAGTTGAAACAAGTATGGAAACAGATTTTTGTCAAGAAAAATTGAGATCTTCTCAATTACTGCCTGGGATTGTATGAAAGTAGCAAAACATAATTGTTCCAAGGTCAGCTTTTAGTAAACATTGTTCTAAAAAATCTGAATTGTGACGCTGCTAGTTATGTACACCTGATTAGTGTTACCTTTCGATAATGAAGAGATTTTCTTTTCTAGCTTCATAATAAAAATGGGTTGAGAATTTAAAAATGATTATGAGTACATGTATTTAAAAGTTTTACATAAATACAGGTAGATATAAAATTTCCATTGGAATTGAAGCAGCTTTTTTACTATTTAGCAATGTAAGCATTTGATCTAGAAAGTTGATGTGGCTTACCTCAATATAACTATTTTTCTTCCTGAAGAATTTCTCACTCAGCTGTTTCATTCTCCATCACAAATTAAAGAATCTTATGCTAAAAAATGAAGATGCAGTAATTAGAATGATCTTGTATCTGTAAGAGAGGATTTTGGAGATTTTGGCCTTTTTTTTGGCCAGGTGGTCAATATTAAGTCTTTTACCTAGTTGAAATTTATTGAAAACGGTATTGGAAGAGTCAGAAAGGAAAATAAACTAAATCTATCAGGTGAAGCTTTGAGGCAATAAAAACAAATTTAAGATTTGCTGTTGTGGATCTTATTCTTTAGAATTTTTGATTTAAAAATTTTTTAAAGTATAAATTTTATATGTCACTTCTACCTTTTGTCTCGTTTAAGAAGTAATAGAAGGTACTTGAAAAATATGCTTGGGAAATACTTTTGAACAACTCAAATAAATTAAAAGATTTTTATGAATTGTTTCGATATAGATATAGGTAACAGTTTTAAAATGAATCAAATTTAAAATGTATCTTTTTAAAAGAGAGTTTTTTTTTTTAGCTAGTACCTCCACACTTTGCTAACAGGACAGATAATAGAGTATATAATATGTAGCAACACAATATCAAAGATTAGGATACATTACAGATTGTAAATTGCCAGAGTGATGGAAAAAATCCACAAATTTGTAGTACAAATATTTAGTTTTTTTATTAAAGATACAAATTTGAGGTATATTTTGTCACTTACCTGAGACCTAACAAAATATTTTGCTTTTACAGTTGGAAAATAAACGTGATGCTTTCTTTCCTCCCTTACATCAATTTTGTACAAATCCAAAAAACCCTGTTACAGTAATACGTGGCCTTGCTGGAGCTCTTAAATTAGGTAAGCTTAAAAAGAAGATTATTTCTTTTACTGTCTTTAAACCTTTATAACATTGACAGAACCTTACTACTGATTTTTTTTCCCAGCATTCTCAGTCTTTATTTTAACGTATATTCTCTTTCTTTCTGACTTTTATGTCTCTTATGCATGAGCAAGCATCTTTAGCGCTGATGTGAATGATAATGGTTACTGACTGCTGTTACAGTGGGTTTTTACTTCAGATTTAAATTTAGTATCATGCAACATAAAAGATTTAGATTACATAGCTGAAGACGTTTTGAGTATCAAATATAAGTAAAATTGGATTATGTTTATAAATGCTGAAATTCTACTGTTATACCCCTGACATGATGGTTAAAGCCAGAGCTTCAAGGAACTGCTGTATAACTCTGAAACCAAATGGCTTGGAGCCCTCTTAAGTGAAACTGATGGAACTCTATTCAATACTTTTTAGAAATACTTTGGCTTTTTAATGGAACTGAATACAAATTTACCGATTAAAAAAACTTACTTATTTTTAAAGATCTTGGGCTTTTCTCTACCAAAACTTTGGTAGAAGCTAACAATGAACATATGGTAGAAGTGAGGACACAGTTGTTGCAACCATCAGACGAAAACTGGGATCCCACTGGAACAAAGAAAATTTGGCGTTGTGAAAGTAACAGATCTCATACTACAATTGCTAAATATGCACAATACCAGGCTTCCTCCTTCCAGGAATCATTGAGAGTAAGTTTTTCCTTCTTTTCTTTTCAATTGTTGCTATTTTTTAATAGTGCACATTACTTTTGTAACTACTGTCTAGTGTATATTGTTAACAGTGTGTTTATAAACTGCTATAGCTCATAAATTATTAAACTTTTATTTTATGTTATTTTATTATTTTGAGACAGAGTCTTGCTCTCTTAACCAGGCTGGAATGCAATAGTGCAATCTCAGCTCACTGCAATATCCGCCTCCTGGGTTCAAGCAATTCTCCCACCTCAGCCTCCTGAATAGCTGGAATTACGGGCATGCACCATGACACACAGCTTATTTTTTGTAATTTAGTAGAGATGGGGTTTCGCTATGTTGGCTAAGCTGGTCTGAACTCCTGAAATAAGGGGATCCACCCGCCTCAGCCTCTCAAAGGAGTGAGATTATAGGTGTGAGCCACCACCCCTGGTAAAATATTTTAAATGTAAATAAAATGATAGTATATAAAACATACATTGCTAATAGAGAAATAAAATTACTATCTCATGTCCACCCTATTTTTGGATTTTTTATTTTATTTTATTTTATTTATTTATTTTTTTTAGTTCATGTCTTTTATTAACTCGGTTATTTGTCTTCTGGTTTGTTGAAGCAGTAAGTCAGACAACATTTGCCACAATAATGTCTGTCAAAGTGGCTTGCCATAAACACTCCAGCACCACATTCATCAGAAGGGCATTCTCGACGAAGGCGACTAATTTTGCCATTCTCATCCACCTTGTAATATTTCAGGACAGCCAGTTTAACCTTCTTTCTCTTGTGCTTATTCTTCTTGGGAGTGGTGTAAGACTTCTTCTTCCTTTTCTTAGCACCACCACGAAGTCTCAACACAAGATGAAGAGTAGACTCCTTCTGAATGTTGTAGTCAGACAAAGTACGTCCATCTTCCAGTTGCTTGCCAGCAAAGATCAGTCTTTGCTGATCAGGAGGAATTCCTTCCTTATCCTGGATCTTGGCCTTTACATTTTCTATCGTATCCGAGGGTTCAACCTCGAGGGTGATGGTTTTTCCCGTAAGGGTTTTCACGAAAATCTGCATTTTGGTGGCGGCCCCACGTGAGGCGCAGATGGCGGATCGAAAAGCGATTTTTTTATTTTAATGATAAACTAAGCCTATTACTGTTTGCAGAATGATACCTAATAGGAAGAAAATTATCTTATTAACTGAGGTGTTCACTGAGCCAGTGAAAAGACATTCCTATGTTACTTTATGTGGAGTATTTTTCCTTTGAAGCATTAGTGGTCTTCCTCTATTGTGTAGTCTCTTAAAAAAAAACTGTAGAAGAAGAAATCTACAGAAATGTTTCAAAGATACATGGAAAATTAATAAAATATTAAACAGGACAGTGCTTACTAAAACATAATAGTAAATGAGGAGAAATAGAATTGTTAGAAATAAGGGTTTTTGAATTTTTTCAAACAATAAAAGTTATGCATTGCAAACACAATTATATTTGTCAAGTATTTGTTTGAATTGTTTTATTAACATGGCTCCTCGGGCAGGTGCCATGGCTCCCAGCTGTAATCCCAGCACTTTGGGTGGCTGAGGCAGGCAGATCAGTTGGGGTTAGGAGTTCAAGAGTAGTCTGGCCAACATGGTGAAACTCTGTCTCTAGAAAAAAAAAAAAAAAAAATTAGCCTGGTATAGTGGTGGGTGCCTGTATTCCCAGCAGCTGTTGAGGCTGAGGCAGGAGAATTACTTGAAACCACGAGGTGGAGGTTACAGTGAATAAGATCGTGCCACTGCACTCCAGCCTTGGTGACAGAGCAAATACTTTGTCTCAAAAAAATAGATAAAGAAAATTAGAAATAAATTATAAAATTGAATTGCAGTTTATTATTTCAGATTAAAACAATGTATAAAATTGAATTGCAGTTTATTATTTCAGGTTAAAACAATGTAGAAAAATTATTTTTGTATAAAGCTTTTACTTAAAACTTAAAGTTTTATAATGGAAAAATAATATATTCTTTTAAGTTTCAGATTTATAATTCATTAATATTGACCTCCAGAACATGTTTAAAATTCTCACTTCATTTTACATTTTAATCACATTAATATCACTAGTATCTGATTCTGCTGTGACAATAGTATATTTCTATAATTTTTTTGTGATATGTTAAAGAGAAAATTAATGATTTAACAAATTTTGTTAAATTCAGTGGCATTATGTTTTCATGTTGTTGTGCCACCAAAACTACGGTTTTTATCTTTAAGCACGTTTTTATCATCCCAAACTGAAACTCTGACTCCATGAAACAATAACTCACCATTAGTTTATGAACATCTGAGACAGTTCTCAGATGATTTAGCAAGTTTATTTTGCCAAGCTTGAAAATGTGCACTTGTGCCACATCCTCAGGAAGTTCTGATGACATGTGTCCAAAGTGGTTAGAGCACAATTTGGTTTAATACATTTTAGGGAGATATGAGACATCAATCAACATACTTAAGATGAACACTGGCTTAGTCCAGAAAGGTGTGACAACTCAAAATTGAGGTGGGTGGGGGACGGTGGTTTCCAGGCCACAGGCCACTAATAGACAAATGGTTGGATTCTTTTGTGTTTCTGATTAGCCTCTCCAAAGGAGGCAATCAGTTACACATTTAACTCCATAAATAGAGGGGTGACTTTGTATAGAATGGAGGCAGGTTGCTGTAAACAGTTCCCAGCTTGACTTTCCCTTTAGCTTAGTGAGTTCAGGTACCTAAGATACTTTCTTTTTAATTCCCCCAACCACACACACCTCTTTTTGTTAATCTTTTGTAGAAGAATATGAGTCTCTGGTCACTTTTGTCTGATCTTTCATGGCTACTATGGTTTATTCCTAGTCAGATAGGTCATGAGTTATTAGGCAAGTTCATTTTTAAAAGGTTATGCAGTGCTGTGTTCTATGAAGAGAAGATAGGGGAAGAAGGGAAAAAACAACAAACAAAAGAAAAATCGTGGAAAAATTGATACCGTATTACTCGGAAGTCCATATACATCAGTAGGCAAGTATGAAAGTGGCTTATGTGTGTAAATAGTTTGCTGTTATTTTTTTTCTGGCATTTAAATTGTCTACCTTCAGTTCTCAGGGTCTCAGGCTTGTATGCAAAAGCATAGGATAGTTTTCTATGTCTACAAATTAGGAAAAATGGGGAAAAAATTCAAAACATTATTTTGTAGACTTGTAGCGAAGAAAAATTAGAATTGCTCCAAACTGCAGGAAAGACATTACACAATACTAGACTCTGGCCACAGATGTGCTACAGTTCTTCAAACATAATTTTTCTTTTCTCCCATTTCACATGAAAGACACATTATGGTAGGATATATTTTGTTTATTATACTTGGCCAGATTATGTGTAAAAGCACAGCAAGAATAATTATTTTTCACATAGTCTTTTTAAAATTGGCTTTGATGAAACTTGGTTTCATAGAAGTAATCTCAGCCAAGACTTTTTTTTTTTTTCTTATTTTTTTATTGCATTTTAGGTTTTGGGGTACATGTGCAGAGCATGCAATACAGTTGCATAGGTACACACATGGCAGTGTGTTCTGTTTGCTTTCACCCCTTCACCCACATTTGGCGTTTCTCCCCAGGCTATCCCTCCCCACCTCCTCCTCCCACTGGCCCTCCCCTTTTCCCCCCAATAGACCCCAGTGTTTAGTACTCCCCTCTCTGTGTTCATGTGTTCTCATTTTTCATCACCCACCTATGAGTGAGAATATGCGGTGTTTCATTTTCTGTTCTTGTGTCAGTTTGCTGAGAATGATGTTCTCCAGATTCATCCATGTCCCTACAAACGACACAAACTCATCATTTCTGATTGCTGCATAATATTCCATGGTGTATATGTGCCACATTTTCCCAATCCAGTCTATCATCAATGGGCATTTGGGTTGATTTGATTTGATTCCAGGTCTTTGCTATTGTAAACAATGCTGCAATAAACATTCGTGTGCATGTGTCCTTATAGTAGAATGATTTATAGTCCTTTGGGTATATATCCAGTAATGGGATTGCCGGGTCAAATGGAATTTCTATTTCTAAGGCCTTGAGGAATTACCACACTGTCTTCCACAATGGTTGGACTAATTTACACTCCCACCAACAGTGTAAAAGTGTTCCTTTTTCTCCACATCCTCTCCAGCATCTGTTGTCTCCAGATTTTTTAATGATCGCCATTCTAACTGGCGTGAGATGGTATCTCAATGTGGTTTTGATTTGCATCTCTCTGATGACCAGTGATGATGAGCATTTTTTCATATGACTGTTCGCCTCATATATGTCTTCTTTTGTAAAGTGTCGGTTCATATCCTTTGCCCACTTTTGAATGGGCTTATTTGTTTTTTTCTTGTCAATCTGTTTGAGTTCTTTGTAAATTCTGGATATCAGCCCTTTGTCAGATGGGTAAACTGCAAAAATTTTTTCCCATTCTGTTGGTTGCCGATTCACTCTAGTGACTGTTTCTTTTGCCGGGCAGAAGCTGTGGAGTTTGATTAGGTCCCATTTGTCTATTTTGGCTTTTGTTGCCAATGCTTTTGGTGCTTTGGTCATGAAGTCCTTGCCTACTCCTATGTCCTGGATAGTTTTGCCTAGATTTCCTTTTAGGTTTTTTATCGTGCCAAGACTTTTTTAAACCTGAGCCCCGCCTTGGATTTGTACCATCAACACCTGTAAGTTGGTTGAATTCCTCTACTCCTGAGGTTCCAAAATAAAGTTGGGGTTCTCAGGCCTGTTAGAAAATGATATTCTTTACTTACCAAAGGTTAGGAACCCTATATGGATAGGGACAGTGCAGACTAAGTTATGAGACCAGATTTCCCAAGGGAATTTTATGGACTCTATTATAAGTCAAGTTTGATTTCTTAAAGGAAAGCCCACCATTTCATACAAAGCCTTCGTAAAATAATGAGTTTTTCCAGTTTTGTCCTGTTACAAATGAAAACAGATTCTTACTTCACTTACACAATAATTGTATTAATA